AGGATTTCACCAAGCTCAGCACTTAGCCCTTATTTATTAGCACTAATCATGGAAGTTTTTTTTTTTTTGATAGATGAATGGAATTTTAATTAATAAAGAGGAAGAAAGAGTACAACCAGCCTAAGAAGAGGCACAAGATGCTACCTCCCCTTTAAGGATGCTTACAATTTTCAACTCTAACCAGATTACAGTTTACAAAGTAGCCCAATACAAAGAAACCGGAGAAACCCCTTGTTTAGCTAAATAATCATCCAAGGCATTTTCCAATATGCTAAACCAATGAAAGCTGACTGACATATTCCTTGTAAGCCGTTTAACTTTTGAAGATCCCTATAACCCCAAATAACAGTTCCAGACCCGACAACCACCCCACCTTAGAGTCTCCATCAATTATCAAATTCTCCACTCCAAGTTGGTTAGCAATCTGTATTCCTTGTACAACAGCTAGCATCTCAGCCCTTGTAGAGTCTTCATCTCCCATCAGACCAGAAAATATGGAGAGAAAGCTGCTGTCCTTATCATCTCTCTAAGATCCCTCCTATACCCGAAGGTCCTAGATTACCTTGACCACTCCCATCAAAGTTCAGCTTTATAATAATGCCCTCCAGAGGTAGTATCCAACTTTCTTGAATTCTATTATTCTTGGAAGATGTGAAGGCCATTGCTGCCCAACTCCTCCGAAAATCATCATTGGAATAATTCTCCAAAAGAACTGAGATTTTCAACCAAAGAATTGCCCTTGTCATAATACACTCCTTTACTTCAGAAAGACTTCTTTCCTTTTTCTTGGAATATTCTAGCATTCCTTTCCTCCCAGATAGTCCATAAAAGAGCTGCTCTAATACATTTACACATTAGTTTCTCTCTCTTCATAGGCCACCCAAAAGTAGACGGATCAAAAAGCAAATTTACTTCATATGGCAAGTTTCACTTACATCCAAACAATATAAAAATCCAATTCGAAATAGTTGCAACAAAGGACCAAGATATTAGTAAGTGGTAACAGTCCTCATTTTGCAATCTGCACTTTGCATAGAGTTACCAATTTGGGGACAAACACTAAAAATGTCTCTTCTTTTGTAGGTTATCCAAAGTATTAATCTTACCATAGTACACTTCCCAGCAAAAAAACATCTATATTAAGGGGAAGGCCTAGACTAAATTTCTTTAACTGGGAGTCTGGGAACACCCAAGGAGAGGAGTTAGAACAAAGGGGCTTGAAGAAGGCATAAGTAAAAGAGCCACTCAGAGTCAAGGTCCAAATTCTTCTGTTAGGTTTTAAGTGGGTCTAGACAAACAAAATCCAATAAAAGCAAAAGCTCAGAGACAAAAGAGAATTCCGCATCCCTCAACCCTCTATGAAAGCCAAAATCCCAATTTAAAGACAACAGAAGAACTAGGGAAGAAAGGAAACTAGAGATACCCTTTAATAGAGGGAAATAGAATAAAGGGAGGGAAAGAGGTCATTAAGAGGTTGAGTTCCCACCCAAACATCTTCCTAGAAGAGAACAAAACTACCAAAGAAAACATCATACTTTACAAACTTGAGGAATTTAGGGAGAATGTTGTGTATTGCCTTCCAAGGTTTTTGGTAAGTGTAGCCTGTTGAGATACCCTAGCATCCCAACCATTTTCAGAACAGCCATGGATACTATCTCCCACCTCATGCCACAAGCTCTCTCTTTCCAAAGGCCACCTCCACAACCATTTGCCTAGTAGAGCTTCATTCTTACGTGTTAGATTCCCTAACCCTAATCCCCTTTCTTCCTTACTTTGACGAACCACCTCCCACCTAATCAAGTAATCATTTTTCTCTTCCCCTAGTTCCCACAAGAAATCCCTCGTCAATTTTTCTATCTTCTTATCTTCCCTAGAAGGAATCTTAAAGACAAACAAAAAATAAATCGGTAGGTTGGCAAGCTGACCCTAGTTAAAGTAACTTCGGCGGTTTGGCCCCCAAAGAAATATAATTCTATTTTCAAGTTGCTAACCTTCTTTCAAACTTTTCCATTATTGGGTTCCAAAACCAACTCCCCTTTGGATTAGCACCTAGGAGTCCTAAATAGGTCAAGGGCCATTCAGAGATGGTGCACTCTAAAGCAAGCAACAACAAACTCCAATTTCCCAACTCCCCAAGTTCAACTCCACCCAGTGTTTTAAAAGCACAAGGTGCAAAAACGAAAATATGCAAGGGGCAATTTGTGCTTGAGGCGCAAGGCGAGGTGCGTGCGTTTTTGAAGCAAGGTGTAAAAATACAAAAAATGCCAAAAACAATGTTTTAAAAACCGACCTAGAAGTCGAACCATTTTTGCCTCCGGGTCGTGGGTCACCAGTTCGACCAGTTGGGTCAAGCTGTTTAGACCGTGCCATGTCAACACATATATATATATATATATGTGTGTGTGTGTGTGTGTAAATATATATTTTATCAATAAATAATGCATAAACATGTTTTAGATATGTTATATGCATTTTTATATTTAATTTATATATTTTTAACTCATTTTTAATTTTTTATTTATAAAAAATGTTAAAAATTGCAATTTGAGGCCAAAAAAGGTTTTTTTTTTGCGAAAATAGCGGGGCCAGGTGCCTACAGCCCCTTGGGACACATAGATCTCAAAAATTTACCCAAAATCAAAAAAAAATCACCCCAATCGGACATCAGAGTGCAAAGTTATGGTCTCTGAAAGTTTGCATACATTGAATGTGCAACATGCGACCCAGTGACCAAGTTGAACAGGTCAACAGTAGAACCGAATGGGTCAAACGGTTCTTGACCAATTTAACAGTTTTTTACCGTCTGACGGGTCTTGATTGAATCGGACCCAAAATCTTAACTGGGTGACAGTTCAAACGGTTCGACCGGCTGGGTCAACAGTGGGTTGAAAACACTACAAAAAAAACAAAAAAAAAGTCAGAAAATTAAAAAAAATGCAAAAAAAAATATATCAAACATAATATTAATAAAAAATATAAACTTAAATTTTAAAATAAATGTTTTAAAAAACCTATTATCTAAAATTAAAATACATAAACAAAACATGTAAAGCGTATTCAAATGAAAATTTAAAAAAATATATCAAACATATAAAACATTTTCAAGTATGTAAAACCCACAATCTCTTTTTTTCCTCAATTGCATTACTTCAAGTAGCTAATGTGACGTAAAACATATTGCATTCTTGATTCTATGAACCGCCTTTGTACCATGCCCTTCGAGGCAAGCCCAAACAAGTCTATGTTAGGGTCTTAAATTCTTAATTCTCACACAAAAAATAGTAATTTTATAATTTTAATTGCCTTTTAACAAGATATTTTATTAGGATGAATGAATGAACAACATTAGCAAATAGGGGATTCTCGAGGGGCGTGGTCGGGGGTCTGGGGGCAGAGCCCCTGCCCCAACCGCTAGGTTGAAAAAAAAAAACAAAAAGCATAAAAATTTAAAAATCTAAGGCACAAGGCACATCAGGCACATGCCTAGGCACACTAGGCGTGTGCCTTTTGAAAATGTTGTGCCTAGGACCTAGGCAAGGCGCATACCCTAAAATGTGCCTGCCTGTGCGCCTAGGTGCACCTTTTAAATCACTGACCCCACAAACAACGCTTGCCAAAATTAATTTTCAAATTAGATGCACTCTCAAAGAGAATTATTAGATTCTTTAGTTTTCTCCACTTCATCAAATCACACCCTTCACAAAAAATTATAATTCCATCTGCAAACTGAAGGTGAGTCACCGGAGCTCTATCAGAGTTTTTTGCCGAAGGAAGTCCCATGGTGCATTTGTTCACTAATGTTAAAGAAGGATTAAATGAAAAATAAGATTTCATGGACAAAGATCTTACAAACAAGAGGTTCTAAAATAGATAGGACTAAAATAAAATGCATGCAATGTAAATTTATTAATAATAAAAGTGGAAACCGGAGCACACCTAGGATTGGAGACCAAGAGATGATGTGGCCCCTTCCATTACCTTCATTGGTTAATCCATAAAGAAGGAAAGATTAAGGAGAATGTTGCCCACAGAATAAGAGTAGGATGGACAAATTGGAGGGATGCACCAGAATCTTATTTGATAGGACAATACCACTTAGACTAGAAAGAAAGTTTTACAAAACAGTTATAAGGCCAATGACATTGTATGAAGGAAAAGAGGGAAAACTAAGTGTGGTAGATATGTGAGTGTTGAGATAGATAAGAGGGAAAACTAAAAAAGGATAGGATCTGAAATAAGCTTATTCAAAGGAATATAAGAGTAGTTCCAAACTTCCAATAGGTGATAAGACAAGGGAAAGTAGACTATGATGGTTTGAGTATAGGTGAAAAATACCATCTATAGCGCCAATAAGTAGTCATCCATAAGTTAATAGGGCTAGAAGAGCAAAGGGCAAGTCAATGTATCTTGGGTGCCAAGGGCAGCCAATAGATTGGCAGAAACTTAAGCTAAGAGTGAGGTCAACAGGCCTGCAATATTTTGGGCACAGTTATAAAATGTCATATCAAACGTAGGGGTAAAGAAGCAAGTCTGACCTGAGAACAGGGCTGCTAGACAGTTTTGTAATATTATTATTCATTTTAAGAGCTAGGGGCAGGTCAAAAAGGACACGAGTTGAAGTAGGGGGAAATGATTTAAGGGCCCACAGTTTAGCAATGGATATGGTAATGAACAGGATAGAACGACTAACAGCATATAGTTGGAACAAGGCTTATATGATGCTGACAATATTGATGAAGATATACACGGATATAATGTAAGTATCACATGCACACATACATCCCAAAGGAGAAGTTACAGATCCACAAGATGTACCTCCATCAGATGACAGCAGAGAGAAGTCGAAATAAATAAATAAATTAGGGTAGGTAAAGAGTGATTCTGAGGTGCTACACTCCCATCCCAAGGGTAAAAAACTTGCAAAATAGCTGATTGGTGAATCACTATATCATATCTAGATGAGGTACAATTGCCAAGAAAAATATTGGTTTCAGGCATACCTTAAAATATCTTGCACACATGTTAAACCTGCCAATTTCCGTAAAAATATTGGCTGCCTGATTTAAACATGAAATAGCCTCTGCAGAGAGCATCTAATATTAGTGAGCTGTCAGATGATATTAACCGTTACAAAGTAGGACAAAATAACAGAGATTGAAAATGTGAACAGAAATTTCTCATTTTGTAATTACAAAAGATGACATCCCTTGCTCAGGACTTGGCAAACCATGGCATTCAGCTTCCAGATTCATGTCCTTAGGTTACACCTATCTGTGTTATAACTTTATATAATGCTAGGCTGGAAAAGGAAGCAGAAATTCATCCACAGATAATTCTGCGGGTAATGTCTTCTTCATTCTCTCATTCATTGTGGATTATTGAACCAAGGAAGCACAAATTGTCACTTTTGAGGCATGTACCCTCATTTATACTTTTTTGTTAAAATTACAGTATTATATTCCTCCTAGATCCTAATTCTCTTAAAAATTATTTCTACAACTTTAATGTATTATTACCAATAAAAAGATACTGAACAAGTATTGGGCCTACTCTCAACAGGGAGGACCAGGTCCATGAAACCTCTTCAACAGTTATAACTCTGCATTTAACCACACTAATTTTTCTATTATATATTCTTCCAAATTCTATGAGCAAGCATTCCACTCCTGAAATTGGGTTCCCGAGAGAGCAGCCACTGAAATCGAGCTTAATCACTTTCCCTGCCCATGCCGCCTGGCTGCAGGAGGGTTGTTATGATTTATGACTGATAACATGCTGTCATTGTAAAAAATGTACTCGCCATGGTCTGCAACCCTCTCATCAGAATCCAAATATATTCATGTAAGCTCCTATTTGTGCAACCTATCCATGTTTTTAGGAACCAAAAAAACACACTCCAAAAATATTTGTTGTACCAAAAAAGAGTCTAACCATAAGAATTGGCAGATGCCCATTAGGAGCATGCAGCCTTGTTATATATTCTATCAATAAACTATTGTTGATAATTAAAAGATTGGGGAAGTTAATGAGGTATTTTCTTTGGATACCAAAAGAAACATCTCGTCAATGGGGAACAACATGTAAAAGGAAACATCATGGGGGCTTAGGTCTAGGAAGGATAAAATCTAGGAACCTATCCTTGTTCAGAGAGTGGTTAGGACGTTCTTGTTGGGTTCAGATAAACTCTAGCACTTTTTGATATGTAGGCTATAGCAACAATGGTGTTGATTCCAATAGGTGGGATGCAGAGCTGGCAAGAAAAGCAGCATTGTCTTCTCCATTGAAACATGTCATCCATCCTGTCTTAGTTTCACAAGATGGGATCATTTGAGAGGTAAGTTCATAAATAGAAGTAATCTAGCCACTCAAACTAGAAGCATTTGCTTGGCTGATATCTTCATATAGTGTTTTGTCTATTCACCACTTAAAAAAAGTTGAGGGTTTTAGCTGGCCAGCCTTTGTGTTGTTTGTAGGCATTTTGAGGAGAACATGATTCATCTATTCATTTTTTGTGACATGGTGGTGCATGTATGAAGTTATTTCTTTGTGTTAGTCAAAAGACCTAGATACCAACCTCCTTTTCTGGTGAAGGTCTTCTTGTCGCCATCCCTTGGTAGATTTGAAGGGCCAAGATCTTTTAGAGGACTATACCTTTCCTAGTTTTTTGAGAGGCTTTGGTGAGAAAGGAAAAGATGGATTTTTTAAGGGATGGCTAGGGACAAGAGGTGTATCTGTGCTGATATTGGTCCCCTTCTTTTCAATTGGATGATGGACCATGCAGGGTTGGATGATGTATTCAAAGCCTCATTTGGAGATCAATTTTGGACTGCACTGGACTTAGCTGATGTCTATGTATGGACATGTGAATTCTATCTAGTCTTTATGAGAGACACTTCTGTTTTATACTTTCGCTTTGTAATCAAGTATCCTCTCAATATTCTTTCCTCTCGCATTTCCCCTTCATCATAGTTAGAGATGTATTTTCGATGAACATATAATAGATTGATGATTGACATATCAAGTTATATATGAGCTGGTAATATGATAACCTTGAGGAGAAACCTTTTTGTAACAGTTTGCAGCATTCGCATAGGATGAAGCAGCTTCATGCTTGCTTTCTGCCTGTAAATAGAAAATAAAAGCATTAGAAAGGTTCATAAAGAAATATTTGAGTTTGGCAATGCATTACACAAAGCACTTACCTTCAAATAGCAGTTAGCCATTTTGACATATACAGATCCAGCTTTATCCCCTGAAAACAATTGAAGGGTTAGCAAGCTAATAAATTTTGGGTCTACCTCTACCAAAATTCACTGAACTAGATTAAGAAGGAAAAAATGAACTTTGGATCTGCCATTTAACCACGTTGAATTTCCTATGAGTGATCAAACCCATAGTTCTTCAAACATCCGAACTAATCAGGTTAAACTGCATGAATCCTTTCGTTCCCTCCCTCCCTCATTAGCTAAGAATAGAGTTGCTTGGTCTGGACTGTACCCTGAGCCTCAGATTTTGCTCTACTTTTTCCTCTCCTTCCCATTTTGTTCCACATGATCTTTTCTTCTTGAAAAGTATCACCTCTCTTCTTATTGAAAAATAAATGAATAAAAAGAAAGTCAAACTTATAAAGACTGTTAGATTAGTTTTCATTGACACGCTTTGCTTTTCTAAAATAAACATAAGAATGCATCTAAATTTGAGCTCCACAGTTCTAAATGGTAATTACCAAAAAAAAAGGAGAGAGAGAATCATCTCTATGAAAAGAAACAAACTTCCATCCATCGGTTGCCATACTATGAAGGATGAAGTTGGGCCAGAGCTCTCAATCAACTACAAGTGCCTCACTTTCATCTCTAAGCTGGAAGCTTGGTCCCAGTGGATACTAGATAAATAAAAGTTTAATGGAGATCTAACAACGATAATTCGATGCCAAGCAATCAGCTAATATGAAAGGTTCTTTATTGATACTACAGGGACCCCAATTGTAACTTGTAGCAGGAATCCTACGGACCCATCAAGCGCGGGTTGAGCTGAGCAATTATATTTAAATTGTCATGTCAAGGTTCAGATATTTAATTGCATAGTGAAAAGCGTCCATTTGCATCATTAAGAGACTGATCAAACAAACGCAATTCGATAACCGAGCATCAAACCTCCTCCCCCACCTACAATGGATCTAAACGAAACCTGAATCAACAATAACTACTTAAAAAAAACAGGAAAACAAAAGGATGTTGCCATGAGATAACATGGAAAGCTTCACTTTAATCGCATCTAAACCTTAACTCTATAACACAAATAATCAAAAGATAATCAATTGAGGGATGGAATGATTACAGGCTTTGGCGAGTTTGTAGCTAGTCGCAGCTTTTTCGAATAAATCTGCAGCATCTTCATATTTATTACCAAACAAACCCCAACCACTGATCTTCTTATCTGCTTTCTTCTCAAAGTCCTCTCCTTTGCCAATTTGATCCGCCATTTTCTGCACTTCCGATCTCCCTTGCGTCGTAAATGTGAGAGACAGAGGGAAGACGGTAGACGGAATAAAGGTGGAGATTCGGAAGGATGTCCGATTTTATTTTATTTATAAGAAGAGGAAAACACGACAAAGAAAAGTAAAAGGCTGTGATGGAGTCCTTCCTTGGGAGAACGAAAAACAGGTTTTCCTTCGCTGTTAAGCTGGAATGTTCATTCAGTGGAGCAACATACGAAAAAGCCTCTATGGCTATGCCCCCCCTGCTCAGCAGCGGTCCTAATTATTGATCTTAACACATCCTATCGAAACCATAAATAAGGTTCCAATCCAACGGTTTCAGTAAAAAAGAAAAGAGCATCCTCTCCAAAGGTATTCCACCGTGGTCAAAAGTTACAAACGCGCACTGATTCTTCAAGCAGGGAAAAACAGTATTAGTAGGGGATTGTTCAAGTTTGGGCCGGGCTCAACAACCGAGCCCAACCCACATCGATGACCCTGGTTAAGATTTGGCCGCATTCTAATTTCTAATCCTCCTCTTCTCTTCTACTCGCCTACTCGGACTTGGGCTAGAAATAGAATGCAACCACCCGACCAACCGAATTAAGATCACGTAACGTAACTCGACATGTTTGACGTTTCCCATATCTTAACCCAAAGATCCATATACACCTGATAGATTTTTCCGAGATCCATTTACACCTCATAGGCTGATACAGGTTCCACCAAAGACATTTCCCCACGGTAACGAAAAAGAAAATCCACATGATTGGAATCCTATGAGCCGTTTGATAACGGTTGAAGTGGCTGAAATGAAAACTTATTATTTATTCATTTATTTATTTTTGCTGAATAAGTTATTTAAGTAGATTGAGAATGGCTGAATAGCATGTCGGACTGATTATTATACCCCTATATATAATTTAATATTTTGCCATCTTATCTACTAAAAGGCAAAGTAAAAATTAATTATTTTTTAATAAAAAGTTTTAAAAAATTATCAATTTTAATATAACTCTGAAAATAATTATTATAGTTTTAGAGGTATTTATATGTCAGATTTCAATGCAAACAAATAAAGCCCCCATTCTCAAAGGCCTCAATCAATGCTAGTTTGAAAACTAGGGAGATTTCGGACAATTTTGCTAAAGCTTCTGGTCAGCTCCCTTATTACCTTAAGTTGGTCATATCTTTTTTTAAAAACATTCCTAATCACTTTTAAAAAATCATAGCCTCCTTAAGATTCCCATTGAAAGTAAAAAATAAAACATATCTTGGAGCTCTCATCATTGATGGTAGAGTTTCTTAGGAAACTTTTAAATATAATATTAGAGAAAAAATGGCCAATAAACTAGCTGGTTGGAAAAAAAATTCCCTCTCTTTAGTTGGAAAATTGACTCTAATTAATTCCGTTGTGTCTAGTTCCTTAGTTTGCCATGCAAGCCTTTAAAATTCCAATCAATGTAATTGAGGACATTGAAAGGGATTTTTCATACTCAAATGCGAGAAGTTAGAAACCCATCCATTTAGTTAATTAGAGTAGAGTTTGCACTCCCAAAATGTGGGGAGGATTAGGAGTTAAGAATCTGAAATGGACCAACTAGGCTCTACTTGCTAAGCTAGGTTGGAAAGTTATTAATTGTCAAAATAATTTATGGGATAGAGTGGTTTCAAGTAAATATGTCAAGAAAAACAACTTTTGGGAGGTCAGCCCAAAAAAGGAGTATCTTGGGCCTGGAAGGGGATTCTGGGCTCTAGAGATATGATCAAAAGGGGGATCCACTTGGAGAATAGGAAATGGTAATAAGGTTTCTTTCTAGAAGGATACATGGGCTGGAAATGGCTCTGTTGGATCTCAATAACTAGATTGATGTGAACAACATGGATTTCCTAGTAAGTAGGGTGATTGACCATGAAAAAAGGGTTTGGATGGAGGATATAATTAAAACGATTGCTTCCCCTCAAATTTGGCAATGCATCAAACCAATCTTGATTCCTCATGATGATATGGAGGATAAGATGGTATGGAAATTAACATCGGATGGAGATTTTTCAGTTAAATCGGCTTATTTTGAGGAATGTCGTTTTAATGGAGGGGCATGCTTGTCAAATAATTATATAAATAATTTTTGGAATCTATTGATTCCCCCGAAAATTAAAACCTTCCTTTTGCTTAAATGAAAAACTTCCCACTAAAAATAAACTTATCACGATGGGTTATAGAATAGAGCAAACATGTGTTCATTGTGGGGAAGAGGAGAATATTGATCACCTATTTGTTAAGTGTGAATCATTGAAACAAATTTGGAATAGGATGGTTGAAGTGTTACTAGTGCCGAGATCCTATGATGTAACTTTAAAGTAATGATAGTCTAGTTTAGAACTTTAGGTAACCGGAATTGTTGTTTTAAGGATAAATTCATAAAAGAGAATCAAGGCAAATTGGTTAGCCCGAAGGGCTCTAAGTTGTCAAAACAGTACTAGAGATTTTAGGTTTTGTAATCTTAATTTTATTTGTGATACTGATTTGAGGGGAAGAGCAACCCCCGACTTGTGTAGCTCATCATTTTCCATAAAAAATAAAATAAAATAAAGCCTAAGAAGATTAAAAAAAAAAAACTACAGAATAGCTGAAGATCCAATTTTGCCCACTTTTACAAATGGCCCCTTGGCTCAAAAAACATCTGTTGATGTCAAAAAGTGCTAAACATACAAATTTGTTTTGTGAAAATTGCTGATATGATTACCTTTTACTCTTAGCATTTCACTGCCAACTGCCGAATGAGGTGAGCCAAACATTTTGATTAAAAATTTGCGCCTATAAAATCCCAAAGGGTCAACGATTATAGTCTAGGTGGTTAGTTATTATCTTCTCATTGGAGAGGCACGGTTCAAACCCATGGAAAGGTAGACTTTTGGCATTGTGATTTGTGAATGCCAAATTGCCAATGCCCACTATGTGCATCTTTTCCCTCAATTTTCTATTGAACTAAAACTAATCAATAGCCTTGGGTTTGTTCACCAATATGCACGATTTTGTCCTTTACAACAAAAATAAGTGCCACATCAGCAAAAGCAATTTATTTTTTCGTTGATGTGACAGTTAATTTTGTTTTAATAAACAAAATCATGAATATTGACAAACCCCAAACTTGTTACAAACGTATGGTTTAAGATGATTTACAAGGCAAGAAAAAAATTTTTAAAAAAAAAGAAGAATTGTATACTTTGGTTGTTCTTTTCTTTGATACCTCTCATATCTGCCAAGAGTGCTGATAAATAAAAGTTTACACAGCGTATAGCCCATAAAAAACCATGTCCTACTTTGTATTATGGAGTCTTTTCATGGTGGAAGAAAGCTTCCAACTTCCAAGAGTTGTATAAACTGATTTACTTATTTCCTTGCATCTTCTATTTTTGTATTTATCTCCGTTATGTTTTCTAAATCTACTGCATTCATACCGTATAGGATAAAAGCATTTACCGGCAAACCTTTTTCCTGTATCATAGTCCAACTCTAATAATAATAATAATAATAATAATAACATCAGCAATTATGTTGTATGAATTTGGTTTTGTTTACATTTTTTCATTCCACATTTGTACTTTATTTGTTGAGAAAACCGAGAAAGATAATAATTACAACCATTTATGACAACTAGACACCACATCAGCGTAACAATGAAAAAATGCCTAACCATTTGAGGAAGTTTTAAAAAATAACTTTCTCAAACGATAAGCGTGCACAGAAACCGAAATCACCTTTTGTTGTTCTCAATGTATACGGAAGAGCATGAGAGGATAACTGTTGAAGTAACACTTATGTGATAGCGTTTATTGAATAAACACCCACGGAACCAAACACCTAGGTTATTTAACTGTTGACAGATATCTCTAGTCATTTTGCCAGTATCTATCAAGGACTTCTTACATGCCTAAAGGGCATGTACCGTGTAGCCCTCGAGAATCAGTAAATCACAATACATCCTAGATGAGACGGAACCCTTCTGTTACTCTATGACACGGACCAAGACAGCTGTCACACATGAGTGCTACATGCATGTAAGATTTGCATTACTCGTATTTGTTTTAGGGGGTGTTCTCTTTTTGGATTTGGAGAGGGGGAAGTTGGTCAATGGGATTTTAGTTCCCATTGACCAAGAATCCCATGTTCTTTTTTCAGTTTTATGGGGGAACCAAAGAAAATTTATTTTCACTTACCTAGGAAAGTGATACCCATCTCCTAGGTGGGTAAATAACTTTCCCACATAAGGAGAAAGTTGCCAACAGTTGAATGGGACAAAAATGCCCTTTTTAATAATAGATTTCTATGGTTAAAATGGTAATTGCCTTATTTACCTAATAAATAAAAGAACATGGGTAATGCACTTACCTGGACAAGTATTTCCCAAGAAAAAGTTACTCAGGTAATTGCATTTACTCGGATAAATAACTTACCGAAAAGCGAACATGGCCTTAGAATTTAGACCTCCACGTTGAAACTTGGGTTGGATTGGCTCGAGCTAAAGTAAAGTTTACCAAGTGTTGAAACATCAATCCGAACCCTAATTCAACCTAATCTTCAACACGGTTAGTTCAGGTTAAGCCCTCTAATGTGGTGATATTACAACGATTTTTTTAGTTGACTGGTAGTAGTTGGCCAAAGCTTTGTAACACTCGGCAAGTGCTACTGTTAAAGCAACAACTGTAACAACGCCAGTTAAAATTTGCAAATAATGTCTATTTACGGTTACAATAGCTGTTGTTGAAACCATGAATTTTCTAACTTAGTAGTGGTTCCATATAAAAAAAAACATGTTTTTTCTTTATTCTTTTATCGACAAGAACAACGGTCTGGTTAGATGATTGAAATTGAATGTGGGAATTAAGAGTACGTTTGATTCACAACCAGAACAATTAAAACCTATCAAAATCGGAATTGGAATTGTAATCAGCTAGAATGGGTCTTCATTCCCAAGGAGGGGGAGTGAATGGCCATTCCCTCAAATGAGTGGGATTTCAATTCCATCCAACTAAACAGTTGGAATGGGAGTGAACCATTCTCAGACCCCTATTCCTACGAACCAAACGGGCCTTAAGTTCAATTCAACCAAACTTGAGGGTGAAACCAAGGTTCAAAGTACTGATACTGGCCAATACACCAGTAGGGCATATCAGCCAGTATCGGCCCTTTTTTTTAACTTCCACTTTTTTTTTTTTTCAATTTTGGTTCAGAGGGGCCGGTTTAAGTCCCGGCTACCCTCTGAATCAGGCCCTGACCCGATACAACCCCTGTAGGGGCGTATTGGGAAGGGCCCAATACGATACGATATGTATCGGCTGATAAGGGCCGATACGTAACAATTTTTTGAACCTTGGGTAAAACGTGGGCAAAGTAAGAGCCCACCCTGAGGATATATTCTAACATAAAGGCCGAAACAGTACATACCTGGACTGACTCCGGATCTCCTGCCTACAAGAACTCTGCGTATATCTACCCGCAACACACTACCTCCGTGCATTGGGAACATCTCCCTATGCATAATACTATGTAGGAGGATGAGATGTTCCCCATGTGTGGCTGCGATGTTATGTGGGTAGACATGGGCAGGAGATCCGGACTCACCTGGACCACACTTTAGTACCGGTCTTTATCTGGAGAATGTGTAAATCCAAGACCCAACTGATTGTTGGTGCTTGGTAGTGGGTCTCCCTCACATGACTAGGTGCCTCAGGCATCGAAAGACAAGCTTTCAAGCTTTACCAAAGTCATCTCTGTTGGTAAACTGTTGTATAACAATGTGGTTGATGCCGAGTCCTCGTGCTTGTGGAATTGATCTATAGCACTTAATGAAGGGGTTGATCTATCCATCCAGTCTAAATTACAGCCTATTTCATAGTGCTAGGCACGAAATTAACCAGTGTAGCAATGGTGCAAGGATCAAGGGCCAGGGCCACCAATCAACCGGGATATAATCGGAATGGATCAGCCAATACAAATTACAAAACTTGGCTTGGAATAGGAACTTGTTCCCCCCGAGATTTGGGTAAAAGTCAGTTGTCAGAGGAGTGCAATTCATAATTATCAAACACAGACACAAACTCTATGGGCAAATTCATCAAACAATTCATAATTATCAAACACAGACACATTCTCTTTGAGGATTGCAGTAAATGGAAAATTACAAGTGTTAGATGAAGTCAATTGTTGGTGCAACCACTCACACGTGCAGTGTGTACCGCGATATATGGTTTAGTATGGTTAGAAAAACACCCAAGTATTTTCATCAGTACAGAGAGTTTGATTTCTTTTGCTTTTTGTTCTCTTCATAGAAACCATGATACTTCCACAAAGAGGACACTGGTGTATAATGAATGTTTCCGCATTTAAATAATTTGAATTCCTGTTGAGAAATGAAAAGGATACCTGGTCCTTTCACAAATTCATGTAATGATGACTAAGAGATACTTCAAGATAGATTTTCTGATGGTGGAAACGTCTCTGACAATCTGACAGTAAAACAGAGAACTTTTAATCACTTGCCCATCTAAAGCAATGGCAGCATGAAGACAATGCTAAATTGATGATGGCAAGATCATGTGTTGAAGATAAAAACAAACTAGAACAAATGTGTTGAAGAGATTACTTCCCCTTGCTCAAAGAAACACAAATAAGATTAACCATTAACAGAAGTAGATATTTTTTTTTCTGTTTTTCTTGCAACTTGTTTAGAATCTCTAATTACTCCGTGCAATAAGCAGCAAGAGACAATTAGTTGCTTCCTGATTTCTCAAGGACAATTTTACCCGTTCAGTTTAGTAGTATAATCACTGATTCTCCTAAATGTCTTTATCCTTTAGGCTCAGTTTGGAAGCAGTACAAATGCAAATATGTACAGCGTAAATACATACAAAATATAAGGTTTTGCACTCTACATATTTGCATTTGTACTCCTTCCAAACTCAGCCTTAAGGAAAAATAAAGCATTAAATACTACCTTATTTATTATGCTCCTTATAAGTTGGATTAGAAGTTTTACTTCAAAGCAAATATAATAATGCTACTGTTTATAACATTTTCTCATCTCTCTTCTATTTTGAACTCCACCCTTTGGTTATAACGTTTATGGGATGGCTATGATTTAGTGTATAATTAAAAAATAATAATTATGAAGCCCTCCATGTGCTTAACATGAGGTGTGGGAAGAGTTGTATGGTATACGAGGTCAATGGGATGGTCCTTGGTGTCTGGGGGGTGGGGGATTTCAATGTAATTAGGTTTTGTAATGAATCTAACAACCCCTAAAGAACAGTTACAATCAGCATGAGAAAGTTCAATGAATTGATTAACACTTTGTGGCCTAAGGATTTACCCCTTTTATAATCCAATTTTACATGGTCTAATTTCCAAGAAAACGCCCTATGCTCGAAACTAGATAGATTCCTCTTTAATGAAGAGTGGGAGAACCATTGGAGGAATTTGATGGCTAGAGCTTTACCCAGAGTCATTTCTGATCACTGCCCTATCCAGTTAAGTCCTGAAATTCTAGGCACTGGTCCACAACATTTTAGATTTGAGAATATGTAGTTAATTCACCCGGACTTTGTGCACATGGTTGGGGAATTATGGAGAGAAGATCTGAGAGGGGTGAAGTGAAAGGGAGTGAGATTCCACAAAAAGCTGAAAAGATTGAGATCCAAAACCAAGGAGTGGAATAGGGAACACTTTGGAAGGATAGAGGAGCAAAAAATTAACTTGGTGTCCAGGATTGAGGAACTAGGTTCCAAAGAAGCCCAAAGGATTATGAGTGAGCAAGAAAGGGTTTTGAGAAGAAATCTAAAGAGGGAATTGGAAGTTCTTCTTAGAGAGGAAATTTCTTGGAGGCAAAAGTCAAGACAAAAATGGATTAAGGAAGGGGATGGAAATACAAAATTCTTCCATGCAATAGCTAATGGGAGGAGAAGAAAAAAATTTGTGGTTAAGTTAGAGGTGAATGGAGAGGAAGTCACAAACCAAGATGAGATAGCCAAATTGTTTGTGGATCATATCAAATCAATCTATAGGAAACCATTGAACAATAGGCCAAGATTGGAAGGAACGGATTGAACTAGGCTATCAGAAGAACAAATTAACTGGTTAGAACGGGATTTTAGTGAAGAGGAGATCAGACAGGCGGTGTTTTCAATGGATAGATCCAAAGCACCTGGTCCAGATGGCTTCACCATGACTTTCTATCAAGACTGTTGGGATGTGGTTAGAGAAGACCTTGTTGGGGTGTTTTAGGAATTTGCAAACAAGACTAAGGTAAGTCCTAGAGTTAATGTTACCTTCTTAGCCTTAATCCCAAAGAAGATAGATCCAAAGGACCCAAAGGATTTTAGGCCGATTAGCCTAGTGACAAGCATCTATAAAATCCTGGCTAAAGTGCTATCTATGAGAATTCAAGTAGTGCTGCCCTCCATCATTAGTCAAGCACAAGGTGCTTTCATGCAAGGAAGGTAAATAACGAATCAGATCTTAATAGCAAATGAGTGTGTGGAGGACTTGAGAAAGTCGGGAAATCAAGGTTTTGTTTGTAAGTTGGATTTAGAAAAGGTCTATGACCTTGTGGATTGGAGCTTTTTACTAGAGGTCCTTGGGTGTTGTGGATTTGGAGATAGATGTGCAATTGGGTAAAGGGTTGTATTAGCTCCTGCCATTACTTAGTCTTGGTAAATGGGGTGGTCAAACATTTTTTCCCAGCATGTAGAGGCCTTAGACAAGGCGAGCCCCTCTCCCCTTTTCTTTTCACCTTAGTTGCAGATATCTTCAGTAGATTAATTTCTAAGGCAGATAGGGAAGAACAGGGTTTCAAATGTCACGAAATTTCACTAATGTCGCCCGACATATGTCGATGTTGAGGCTCACCGACATGAAAATGGATGGTAATATAAAAATTACATTATTTCGGTCAACATTTCCTATGTTTCGGAAATGTCGACCAAACCGATCCAAATAACCAAAAAAAAGACAGTTTTTCCTATTATGTCAACAGGATGTCAACTAATGTACATTAATAATATAATATATTAGTATATTATATTAATATAATACAATATATTAATATAAATTATTCCATTAATAATTTCTATTTAATATTTCAAATAAAATATTTATAAAAAAGAATTAA